AGGGTGTTTCACATTCGTGGTCCATTAGAAGTTTCTGGGAAAAAAATATATTTTTACATTATTAAATTATGTATAAAATTCTGAGTAAAATTACTACACCATGTCCTATACCTAAAGTGAATATATATAGCTTTCGAGTTATTTTTTTTTTCGTTAAAATTTGACAAAATAAAATAATAACAATAATAATAACATAAATAGCTGTTTTGTTATTAGGTTTGCGGATATGGTGGTGGAATTTTTGGAATCCTAAAACATTGTCAATTCTTTAACATTTTTCAACTTGAAAGGTTAATAACTTTTTTATTTTAAAAGTATCACCCTGTAGGTATGTTTTTACATAATCATATAATAAATTTATTAATAATTTCAGAGATTTTTCTAAAATTTTAAATATTATTTTTTATCAAGAAACCTGTGACGGGTGAGTTGACGGTATCTATGGTTACTACGCAATCTGGCGCCAATTTTTCAGGTCGTTATAAACAATTTGCTGACTATGTTTTTTGTAGACGAAATAACTGATACAAAATAGCAATCATTGACTTATAAAAAAATAGACAAGCCAAAATTTTCTTAAATTTACAAATCTGTATTGTATCTTTTCAAGTTAGCCTAATTTGCCCTAATAGCAAAAAAGTTATAGACGAAAAAAAATAATAACTTGAAAACTATTCACTTTAGGTATAGGACATGGTGTAGTAATTTTACTCAGAATTTTATGTAGAATTTAAAAAAATATATATATATGGTGTGTTTTATTTAAAATAACAAACTTTTAAAATTTTGTATATTTTTGTATATTATACAGCTCGGGACCAAATTAGAATTATTGTATCAGAATATATGTGGTAGTTTTTGATTTTTCAAGCGTAAAATGCAGAAAATCGTTATTATTCAAAGTTAAGCTAAAATTTAAAATTTTGACTTGTAAACAACAAGTGATTGATAACATTTTAATTATATAAAAAAGTATAAATTATTCAATGTTTTTTACAATGTACCATCATGTTTACATGGACAAATCGGTGTATTTTCTTTATATAGAAATTCCCATTTTAAACTAAAATAATAAATTTTACAATAAACATTTTGTATACGCATATATACTTATGTAGACATATATTTTATTACCTAACGGGGCAATTATGTTCGTAAAACTACACAAAAGTGTTGATTTTGGAGGTTAGGGTTCGTTTCTCAAATATACTACAAGAAATTTAAGTAATATTAAAAAACGTTTTTTGCTTTTTGAAATTTTATAATTTGTAGACGAATATACCGAAATAGTATATTGTGTATACGTTTTATTATGCACGAGCGAAGCTTGCAAGCGAGTGTTTAATAAAAACGAGTGTCTAGAGAAGTTTATAAAACGAGTTGCATACTATACTTTATCTACGAGAAACACAAAGAAATTAAAGCCAATTTTATTTGTTGAACATTTGACATCTTTCAAATGTCAACGGATTTAACCTCACTTTTTCCCAATTTATAATAAAGCTAACTTCAGCCCGTGACTAAAATAGCCAAAAGCCACTATTGCTAACTTCAGCCCGTGACTAAAACGCCATAAAGTCACAGCTCGTGAATGTAGGAGTGGATAAATAATATAAAATGCGTTTTTTGTAATGAACGTTCGACAATAAAGCTCGTAAATAAAATTAACGTTCAAAGTTTACTTTATATAAAATTATCATTTTGTCAAGTATATGTACGAAATAAACAATGGTGTTATAATAGTATATTATAATACATTTGTGTATAAAAGACTTTATCTACGCCAGTGGGATAAGAACTTCTTATCCCACTCATTTTGAGTGAGATAAGAAGTTCATTAACGCACGCGTTTTTCTCTGCTTTTAACCAATCAAATAAAAAAGTCAAAATGTCAAAATAACCCTAAATTAAGTCTTAGACAAAAATAATTACCGTTTATTTTTTCATTTAGAGGCGTAGATAAAAATTTGTACAATATACGTGTGATAACGCTTTATTAACGTACTTTTGGGCAAATTTCGCATGCGTACGTTAATAAAGCTCTTATCCCACTTATATCGTAAATAACTATTATCGCTCTAGCAAAAAAAATTACAAGCACGAGCTATTTAATTTTTTTAAAACTTAAATATTAGGAAAATTTTATACATTATGGTTTTTAAATTTTCGAAATTTAAAATTTTATTAAATTAAAGTTTTAATGTTGATTAACATAAAAGCGAAGGAACACTGCAAGGCATGCCTTGGTTAAAATAAAACATTTATTTTTTGTTATAAATATTTAAAAAATAATTTAAAAATATTTTGTCAAATTCAAATACAGTGGGTCAAAAAACCGCCCACTTTTATTTTGCAAACATTACACGACATTGATCAAAATGTTTAATTTTGTTTTGTTTTTTTTTACAAAGCTTTTTAATTTTAATATAAATAATAAAAACAATTTAATTAAACTAATTAAATTATATACTTAGGTGCAACATTCCCAATAGCTACTCTATCAAAAACAATTATAATTAGGTAGTACCTAATAAAAATAATTAAATTACCATTGACAGAAGCGCGGAACTAATAAACGAACAAATCGCACGAAACCCAAATAAATTACCATACATTTTAATTAATTGCCAACTTACCGAACATTATGGGTAAGTTCCTAGGCCACGTTGATTGCAATAAATCGTTGAAACGGTCAGAACCTCACTCTAGCACAAGCAACCGATTACTAATAATTGTTATTATTTATATTTCGGTCTTGAATTGTATTTTTAAAGCGCAGGCGCGTATACAGGGTGTGCAGTTTACATAACATGTGAGGGAAAATTTGGACCCCTCCCCCTTTTATCATTTTTTTTATTTTTATTTAAACTTTGACGGCGTCAAAATGTTTTTAATAAAACCTAGGTATACAAATTTATTTGTAAATAATTGTTTTTTAAGAATGTCTAACCAAAATTTTTGAGTATAAGACATAAAATCTAAATTTCAAAAAAATAAAAAAATATGCATTTTTGTAATTTGGCAATGTTTTGTCAAAATCCGAGATTTTGTAGGGGGTCCCATTTATCTGAAACCACCCTAGGGTACACCTAGATTATTTGGTGAAAAATTTAGGATTTCATAGTATTTTATTGTGAGGCTTTACGCTGTAATTTTAATAAAATTATTTTATATGATTTTTAAAACCTAAATAAAATTTAAAAAAATGTAAGTACAAAGTAGGTAGGTAATATTTTATAATAATCATTATAATTATAACTGTACTTTGCATTATGTACCTTACTTTTTGTTTTAAAGTTTTTCAATTTTTTTTATGATTTCATATAAAATTAAAAGTTGGAATATATTTACATATAATATATGTCATATACCAAATGATTTATTATTATTATTATGAAAATCACATATTAAAAATGTAAAATAAAAAAATTAAAACAAAACAAAAATTATCATATTAAAAGGTCATTCCAATAAAACCACTACTTTGCCCAACAAAAAATACTTGGCTCATATTTTTATTTGGTTTGTTTCCATAACAACCGCTATTAAATTGAATTATTTCGTCTTATGGCACACATACACGTTTTTATACCTAAAAAGTCAAAAACTACTAACATAGTATTTTTGTAGTTTTCCTACCAAAAATTACAATTTTTGGAATATTCTGGATAATATAATATCCAATTTTTTTTAAACTCTGTCATATGGGCTTAAACCTCGCAGATCCTAAAAGAATCTTAAATCAAAAGAATTTAAAAATTATTCTACAGTAAAAATCAACACAATATACCTAGTTCATAAATAAAACGTAATTATTAAAAATTAAAAAACTTAAAGTTTTCTTTAAATGTAAACTAACCATAATGGTATTGACAGATGTGTTTTGGTTTTAAGGTTAAGTTTTCCAACATTGTTTTTTTATTTGTTTTGAATTATTTGCCTTTAAAATTTAATTAAATATTCAAACAATGTTTAAAATTATATTTATGTATTTATGTATCCATCTGTAAATAAAAATAGAAGTAGATAACTTAATTTTTATAATTGTATTTTTTATCCTCTTCTTTTTTACATTTTTCCATTAGTGGAACAATATTTTTATTATTCAACTAGTGTAACCATAGCTTAGGTTTATTGTTTATTCCACGTGACTGTGGGACAAAATATATTTTTTCTACTCCTATTACGGAATATGACCGTTCCAATATCACTTTTATATACATAATAATAATGACATATAGGTATATTCCTTAAAGTGTTCCAGAATGAAATATTCTATCATCCGATAATAGAATAAACACAGGTGGCGACATCTCTGTTTTTAATATCTAACAAATTTTAGACCTACCCAACCTCACTTTTTCCTAATTAAATTATATTTCTATGGTATTTTTTGAAAACGTATAAAAAGTAGGTATAGTCTGAAAGAAGTTTTTGACAAACTTTTCACTCGAGCGGAATATGCCGTATTCCAAACTTGTTACAGAATATACTATTCTTGCTAAATAATACGAGTAAATACGTAAAAATACACATTCCATAGATTAGTTATAATTGTTATATATTAGGTATCCCTACCTACTATGAAATACAACGATTAGATTACATACTACTTACTTCAAATAAATTAAAGTAAGTAAGCTAAAATATAAAAACTTACCATTTAATTCAAAATTCACACAAAATGCGTCCTATCATTAACACCACTTTTTATTCTGTCAAAATAAAACAAATGAAAACTGTCAAATAGTATCTCAAAAATACTAGTATATGCAACCATTAATACACGCATTGCAAACGTTTATAAACAAATTTAAAAAAATCTGCACTGCCCAAATAAGAACAAAATCCTAATAGTGGTATTTAATCATTTCGTTTAGGTATTAAAAAAACTTAATAGGTATAATTTCTCCGGTGACAATTTTAGCTGCAGAGAGCGCATTTCTCGGTTAAAATTCCGACCGCGCTTCGAGAACTCGCCGCCAGACGTCGCTACCATGGGAAAATAAAAAGTGCTCTGAATTTTCACTAGTTTTGTTGTTTTCAAGTGATTCCGGAAAAATTATGTTAATAAAAAAGTGCAACGCAGTTGGACGAGTTGAAAATCTATAAAACCTGTTAATCGGTTGTTATGGTGACCAGTTGAACGTCGTTAAAAGCTGTTATTTAGGAAGGTTATGTTACGTGTGTTGAGTTTGCAGGATTAAACAAGTTATAAACAAGTGAGTAAAGTTGAAGAAAATGTTTAGCAAGAAGAAAAAGAAGCCCCAAATATCCACGCCGACGAATTTCGAGCACAGAGTCCACACAGGTTTCGATAAACGCGAGGGAAAATACGTGGGGCTTCCTCTACAATGGGCTTCAATTGTGGGCAACAATCAGATTTTAAAATCAACAAACAGACCACTACCACTTGTGGACCCCTCGGAAATCACACCAACAGAAATATTAGACCTAAAAACGATTGTACGAGGCGACCACAAATCAGAGAACAGACTATCGATGCAACAACCCCCTAAAATAAACGCAAACGGTATTATACTGCCAAAAACATCGAATGTCGCCCGCTCGAACTCCCTGCGATCATCCAGCCCCCCTAGGATACGCAGAGACGTCAGAAACAACGCAAATGTACCCCCGGCAGTCCCTGAAGAGCAAATTATGCAGTACCCCAGCATGCGCAGGGATCCCAGCATAAGCAAACCTCAAGTTCGCGATCAAAGCCCAGTTAGCAACAACGGAAATATACCAATGAATGAGGTGTATCTCCCACAAGTATCACCAGTCGAATCTATGGCTTCTCAAGGGCCCCCGGTTAATTTGGGGTTAGGTTCGCACCAAAGTTATCCTCCGAGGCCGGATCAGAATCAGAACGTCAAAAATGGTATGCCACTGCCTAATAACCATGTTGCCAGTGCTGCAGCGGGGCAAACTGCGACAAATAAACACCATGAGCAGAGGCTCACACACGAGCAGGTTAGTGGGTCACCTTAATGTTTGTTTTTGTTTATTTATTAAGGAAATCATTAAAGTATAAAACATTTAATTCTTGGTTGATTATGTGCATCCTGAAAGGTTTTCTAGCAATAAGGTTATTTATTTTGCCTATTAAATTAGCGTTTATTAGCATATCCTTTTGTTTTAATTTTGCTAAAATTTGTTTAAATGATGAAAATTATATTAGTACTTTTAAAATTTGGATAATTCTTTATATGATATCATTATTATCATTTTTTATTTTTTTAATCAATTTGTTATTTTTATTTATAATGGTTGTAAATATTTTTATTGAAAAACAAAAAAACAAAAAACGTATTTTTTGTAGAACGTAAAATTGTTTACAAAAATACAGTTCATTTTTTTTATCTGGGTGTTTTTTTGTTAGGTTGGTAGCTTATGCCAGTTTGACTTAGTATTTTTAGTATTTAAAAATGGTACTTCTGCTAAAGAATTTAATTAAATACTTTGACACTGTCAAATTGACAATAATATTTATTATTGATAATTTACTTGTCAATTATAAAGAAAAAGATACCTAATTATGCCAAAAATAATAGCAACGAATTCGAATGTAAAAGCCCTTTTGAGGGCAAAACTTCTTTTTGATGAAATTATGCAAATGCCACAATGGAATAAAAAGTTCATGCGAACTATTTTAGGGACATTTTTTTCTCACTAGGTGATATTTGCCATACTTGGTTATCATTTTCTATTTGTTGTTTTATGTAAATTAAGATTTTGTTTTTTTATTATGGATGAATAATTATACCAGAGGCAATTATACCATTGGCGACAAAGGCGTTTAATTGCGCTTATTTATTGTTGAAACGAAGACAGAATTAATTAATGCGCATGCGCATCACGCCAAATTAGTGCGATTTTCGCAAAATATTGAATCCTGCGATTTCGCAAGATTTGAAATCTAGGGGGCGGGAATCTTAAGATTGATTCAATATTTTGCGTTTCACATGCAAATTGCGAGTGCAATATAATTAATAATAATATAAAAGTAAGCCTAATAAATTACATACAAACTAATTATTTAATAGGTATGTCAATGATAAAAACTGAAAAAATAGCAATATTCTTTCTATTGTTGACAAAAGTCAAAACTGACACTTATAATTATTATTAAATATGGCGCTTTTTTCAAAATTATTTTTAGAAAAATTAAACTGCTTTTATAGGGAATTTTTTTAAGTAAATAAAAAATATGCTGTGAAATTCCGTATTTTTGGAAGTATACCCTGAAACTGTTGTACAAATCAAACGAACAGTAGGTAACGAAAATACAGCGCTTCAAAGTCGACAAAAATGATCACTTTTCAGCAAAATAATTAAAAAGGGGTCAACACAAACTTAATAAATACCACCTGTGCGGGGCTTACAAATAATAATAATAATAATAAGTTTATTGTGAAAAAAGTACATTTCACAATTGGAAAGAGTTTAGCTATGCTGATCTTCCACTCTCCCTTGTATACAATACAATTAAATCAATACAAATAACAAAACTTAAATATTTCCTAAACATTATGCTACAGATTTAGCATTAATAATACGATTTCAACCAAAACAAAAAAAAAGAAAAAAACAAAAATTTCAAATGCAAGAAAAACAAAATGGTTTAAATAATTTAAGTATTAAATTTTATATATCCAGCTGCACATTTCTTACACACATTTTACAAGCTTTTTTAAAATTAGGTTCTGATAAGCTTAAAAACTGAACAATTCGTTTAAAATAGTAGGCGCAGTATATTCAAAGCACCCTTTGTACTTGGTAGAGCTATGCTGAGGAATTGTATAGGTGTCTTTGCGAATATTTATTGTATGAATTGATGAGCGTAGCTTTAGCAAGTTGAAAAGGTATTTCGGACTTTCACATTTTATCAATTTAAACAAAAAATTACCATAATTATAAAGGCACATCTGAAAGACATTCAGTTCCTGCATAATATTAAAATATGGTGTGACATGCTCCCTAAAATTGGCACCAAAAACAAATCTAATTAGGGTTGCAACTTTTCATGAAAAGTTGAAATTTTTGAAAAGTTGGGTTTTATTTTTCGGAAAAGTTCGGAAAAGTTGGAAAAGATGGAAAAGTTGAGTTTTTTGTACCATGTAATTGTAACATAAATAATGCTTGTCAATGTATTAAAATAATTTATTTCTTATGTATTTATACATACGTAACAAAATAACAAAAAAATATATCAAACAAAATAAAATGAACAGACAACATAATAACAACAAAAATAAACTAGGTTTGAATTTAAAAAATCATATTTTATAAGTAAAAAGGAATATAAATTTATACACACCATAAAAAACATATACAAAATAAAAAATAATTACAAAAAAATATGAAGCAAAAATTATTAAATTTATTGTTGTTAAAAATTATGGAAATTTACAAGTAAAAATTTAAAAAGAAAAAGAAAAGAAAACTTTCTTCTTTTCCACTTTTATATTTTCACTTGCAAATTTCCATAATTAAAAAAAAATAATATTTTTTTCATACTGTGTATAAATTTAAAATACGTTATAATAAAAGAATCTTTATATAAATAGAAAATGCTGTTAGCAGATATAGAAGTTTGACAAAATGTTATTTCAAAAAACAATGCTTTTAGCATGTTTTACTAAAAACACTTCAAATCTAGCGATTTATATCGAATTTTGACCAAATTATCTACCAAAAAAAATTTATGGTAGTGGAAACACTGGTTAGAAGTTAACTCATTGTTCATTGGCTCCCACCTAATAACTTTTCCAACTTTTCATAGGGGGTGCCGAACTTTTCCAACTTTTCGACCGAACTTTTCCTTGTTTGCAACACTAAATCTAATACAAGTATTTTGAATACCTTCTAAACAGTTATTGCTGTTCAATAAATGCAGTAAAAACTTTGCAAAACCATCGTGCGTGGCTTATGCTTTGAAAAACACAATAATTTCGAAAAAAACCTCCAAAGAAATCGTTGTAGAACGGTTCGCACATGACGTCACATAACCTAAGTATAGGCAACCCAGTGGCCACTAAGCTACAATTTTCCCTCTTGTTTTGCAGTTCAGAGCCGCGCTGCAGATGGTGGTGTCGTCCAAAGACCGGCGCGAGAACCTGGAACGTTTCGTGAAAATCGGGGAAGGTTCCACCGGCACGGTGTGCATAGCGCAGGACAGGAATACAGGGCGGCAGGTGGCCGTGAAAAAAATGGACCTCAGGAAGCAGCAGAGGCGCGAACTTCTGTTCAACGAGGTGGTCATCATGCGGGACTACCATCACGCCAACATCGTGGAGATGTTCGACAGCTATCTGGTGAACGACGAGTTGTGGGTTGTTATGGAGTTTTTGGAAGGTAAATATGAAATTATATACAGCCCGTTCAGAGTAAAACCGAATATAGGGAAACGTTTTGGGCGTGGCCTCGCCTCCCTCCAACGCTCGTAACAGTAGCTTGTGTGATAAACGACATGACGAAAGGTCGAGCAGGTAAGACGACCTTAAAAATTAAATGATAATAATGCAAAAAATCTCATTAGCGATGCAGGCTATTTGTTTAGCTACTGTGTCACGCGTTGGAGGGAGGCGAGGCCACGCCCAAAACGTTTTCCTATATTCGGTTTTACTCTGAACGGGCTGTATATATATAACGTAGTAGGTACTATTTTTTTTCTATTAAGGTGGCGCTCTGACAGACATAGTAACGCACTCCAGAATGGACGAAGAACAGATTGCCACTGTGTGCAAGCAGTGCCTTAAAGCTTTAACCTACTTACATTCGCAAGGTGTAATCCACAGAGACATAAAGTCCGATTCCATACTTCTGGCGCTAGATGGCAGAGTCAAACTATCTGACTTCGGGTTCTGCGCCCAAGTGAGTACCCACCTCTTTTTTTGTAATATGTGTTACTTTTATTATGTGTTCTTTTTCAGTTTGTTTTGTTTTTTTTTTTCAATATTTTTTTAAATAGGTTTCTTAAAAAAATATTTGCGATATTTTTGTTGTTTTTAATGTCTAGATTATTTTTTGCATAAATGTTTTTGGATGTATTTTTTTTAATAGATTTTTCTTCTAATTTTTGTTTTTTTTCAATAGCAGTATTTTTTGTTTTTATATTATTGAATGTGTTCTTTTTTAGTTTGTTTTGTTTTTTTCAATATTTTTTTTAATAGGTTTCTTCAATATTTTTTTAAACGGTTTTTTATTTTATTTTTCTTGTTTTTAGTGTCTTCCAGTTTTTTATATATTTTTTTTTGTATATTTTGGTCGTTTTAGATTATTTTTTGCATACATTTTTTTGGATATTTTTTTTTTAATTTTAGATTTTTCTTATTTTTGTTTTTTTATTTTTTTCCAACTTATTTTAATATATTTTAACATTTTAACATTTCTTAAATGTGTTTTTAACTTATTTAATTCGGCCATTTCAAGCGCGCGAAACGCAAGAGTCACAAAACTGTTTTCATAAAAAAAATTGGAGATAACTAATTTATTATAATATTTTGGCATTAAAATTCTTAAAAATATTCTTCTTTTATTAGACTATAGATTAAATATAAAGAACGCAAGAAATATTTTATAATAGTAGAGATAATTTTAATAATTGAAAGATGTGGACTGGACAAAAAAAAACTGTCAATTATTAAAATTATCTCTAGTTTTATAAAATATTTCTTGCTTCATGTATAGCATAATAAAAGAAGAATATATTTGACAATGTGGATGCAAAAATAATATATAATAAATTACCTACATTTTTTTTTATAAAAACAATGCTTGAAATGGCCGAATTGTATTTGTGTTGGTAGAACTGAATTTTTGTTTATGCGTTAATTTCACTTGCTTAAAAATGTATAAAAACGCGTTAATAATAACGTTTTTTTCTTGGTATCTCTCAAAAGGCAGCGAATAAATTTTCTTTAAATATTACTTTCATGACACGCGCAGCGAAAATTGCCCTTCCCTTTGAGCAATGCAATATGTATTATTTTGAAATATTCTTTCCTTGTATTTTTTTGGAAAGGGTTTCTTTTTTTTTAGTTTTTTCCAATTTATTTTAACTTTTTTAATATTTTGTATTTTTGTTAGATCTCTTTTTTAAATTTGTTGATTTAGATTATTTTTTGCATAAATGTTTTTTAATTGTTTTTTCAATACCTATGGGTATATTTTTGGATATTTTTAATTTTTTTTAAATAGATTTCTAGAAGAGCTCTTTTTATTTTTAAATTTTTTTTAACTTGAATATTAATTAACATTTTTTAAATGTATTTTTATCTTTAATTTCTGGGAAAAGCAGACGACTCAACTTTCGCAACAGTGGCAATAAAACAGCTGTTAACGCGAAAGTTAACTTTTTTTAATTGTCTTTGGGTTGATACTACTGCATTTTGTTTATGCATTAACTTTTCTTGCTTAAGGATATATAATTTTTTTTACGCGATCTATTAAAAGGCAGCAAAACTTGATATGTAATGTACTATTTTGAAATATTTTTTTCTTATCTTTTTTATTTTATTTTTTTAGTTTTTTTTCCAATTTATTTGAAAATTTTTGAATTATTTGTTTTGTTTTTTGGGTTTTTTCCAATTAGATTTTTTTTTTAATTTTAAACAATACCTACCTAGGTACTTTTTTCAATATTTTTTTTCAATAAAACATTTAATAGGTTTCTCAAGAGCTTCCGAAACGTAAATCTTTGGTGGGTACGCCGTACTGGATGAGTCCGGAAGTGATATCGCGGCTTCCGTACGGACCGGAAGTGGACATTTGGTCGCTCGGCATCATGGTGATAGAAATGGTGGACGGGGAACCACCGTTTTTCAACGAGCCGCCGCTGCAGGCGATGAGAAGGATCAGGGAAATGCCCGCTCCAAAACTCAAAAATGGACATAAGGTAGGAGAAAATTATTATTTTGATTTTTTTTTTATTTTTTGCCAGTTTATTATTTCAAAGGTTCGAATTTTCGCGCTTTATTTTGCTGTTATACCGGGTGAGTTTTACAAGGGGATATTTCGAAAACGGTTTAAAATTTTGTTGTGAAATTTAAATTTCAATTAATTTATCTTCTGTAATGTCTGAGAAATTCTTTAAAGGTCCCCTTTTGACTTTCAAACAATTTCTCACTCTTTTTCTTGATAAATAAATTAAAATTATTTTTTAGTGTTTTATAATTTAATAAATCATAATTCCGTAAGCGTCTTCGCTCTTTGAAAAACAATTTTTTTTGCACACATATGTACCTACCTAGTTTTTTTACATAGATTCGATTTTTTTTTAAAGTACATTAAAATCCAAAGTTACCTGCCCCTCAAAATAGCGAAACCACCCCCTTTGTCAAAAATATGTTTAAATATGTCTATACCTCTATTAAGTTATAATAGGTAATTTATTTTTTTAAGTTTTAATTAAATTATTTAAAAAGCTGGATTTGAATTTTACAAAAAATGTTTTATAATAAAATGCAGAACCAGTAAAATTAATTTATGATTATGGACTGGACTTTTATCTATACTTTTGCAATATTAGAACATTCACTTTTTTTATTTTTGTCCACCTTGGAAATTTATTCGTAATTCACGGTGTCCCTGAATAACTTTTAATTGAAAGGTTCAGACCAAAGATAATACACAGACATATCCGATTTTTTTATATTTTGATAAAAAATCACTTACAAGACATTTTTTTTCAGGATAAACTCAATTCGCTTGACACTTTTTTAGAAAAATCAATTTTTATAAAAACATTAATGATTTTTAATCAATTTTTTGAGATTTTTAATTAGTGAACTCCAAATAATGACTAACAGCTTTTAATGTATTTGTTACATAAAATGTGCAATTCATTAGACTAGTGAACTATTGACATATGTCAATTGTCACATGTCGAAACCGTTATTGAAAATACCGTTGCTTTATTTTACCGCTTTTTTTCAGTTTGTCGCAGACTTATTTATAAATTAGATATAAATAATTATATTTGCATTGATTATAGTATATAGTGCAATGAAGCTAATAAAAAACCATACATGGACTCACTCGGATAATCGCGAGAGAATTTGTTTGTTTTGTCTTAAAAAAAAAGAAAAAATGTCTAAAATATGTGGAAAGATTCTGGAAAAAGTTCAAAGCATATTAGTATATGATGTAGAAGATGAACGATTACCAAAAGTTGTATGCAAAGGTTGTGAAATTTTATTATATAAAGCAGCTAAACAAGAAATTTATAGAAACACGTTAAATTTGCCTGATTTTTTTAATTGGAAATAATTGGGTATAATTTTATAAAAAGTGCTAAAAATAAACCCATTAAAAAGAAAAACACACTCTTTTTTTCTTTTTTAATGGGGTATTTTTACCACTTTTTATAAAATTATACCCAATTTCACAACCTTTGCATACAACTTTTGGTAATCATTCATCTTCTACATCATATACTACTATGTTTTGAACATTTTACAGAATCTTTCCACATATTTTAGACATTTTTTCTTTTTTTTTAAGACTAAACATACAAATTCTCTCGCGATTATCCGATTGAGTCCATGCATGGTTTTTTATTAGCTTCATACTATAATCAATGCAAAATATGAAAAAAAATCGGATACGTCTGAACCTTTCAATTAAAAGTTATTCAGGGACACCGTGAATTAGACAAAATACACCCACGAGTCGCCACTGTCTAGAACTAAGACTCTTCAACAGACGTTTTAGACAATTTTTATTTAAGGTTTCGCCAAGGCTACAGTCATTCTTGGACAGAATGTTGGTGAGAGACCCCGCTCAAAGGGCGACCGCTCAAGAGTTGCTCGCGCATCCGTTTTTGAGGCAGGCGGGGCCCCCTGCCCTTTTGGTGCCCCTAATGAGGGGCATCAAACACGCAAACTACTAACTAAGCAAAGGAAACAGTAAGTACTCGTTTAAACTCGAAAAGAATCTCCGAAATGCCTTAATAATGATAAACTCTAATTTAAAGAGTTCCGGTGAATTTTTGGGACTGAAGTATTATTAAATATTTATTTTTAATGACGGTTTTTCTATTTTTATGGGAACAAAAGTGCGTTTTTATTTTGTGATACCTTTTTACAGTACTTACAAACGAAGGAAATGTTGATATTGTAATTAACGATTTAAAAGTTATTTTTTTCTTTTAGTTTTATACCAAATATGTATTTATGTTATTATTACTTTATTTACTAAATGAAATTACGTTAACAAAAACTTTTTTTTATATAATCAGTATAATTTCACTTGGTAACTTAATTTATAGCTTATAAGGGCAGCATTACTTAATTTCATTCCTTGAAATGTATTATATTATTCTTTACTTATATTGGGGTAGTTATTTTTAACGTGTACTTTTTACCCCATATGCTTGGTAGACTTCATTTTATATTTATAAGAATGTTACAATTTAAAAACCGTTGATTTTTATACTCGTAATTAAAAAAAGATATTAATTATTGCATGTTATACTCAAAACACAAATTTTATTAATTAAAGTGCTTTACAGTATTAAAATGGTAACCGTCCAAAGTTACTTAGTGCCTTATTTATTTTTTCATGATATGATATGATATAATGATAAACTCATTTTTATACAATAATTATTGCTAACTAGTGCTATATTAGGGCAGCTATAATTGTTAGGCAGCCATTAAGACTATTTTTTTATCATTATTAATTAAATTATACACAAGTTTGAACTTATAAGTAACATGGTATTATGTCATCATTTATTGTTAATATTTATGCACTGTGAAATATACAAAGAATCTCTTAATAAATATTATATATTTTTTAAAATGCGTCGTTTTTTTGCCTCATAAGTATTCCAATTATTATTTGAGATCCCCTTGTATACTAAACTAAACTGGACATTTTGTTGCCAGATTAGAATATGTAATTTTTACAGAAAAAATCTTTAACACATTTTACGGTGTCAACAGGACATTTTACCAGCTGTAATCTGGGTTGCATAACAACAATATAGAAGTAAATGGGTCATCTGAACTACTGTCAACGAAATACAATTTGAGGTTATTACAGTACTTCAAAAATTATAATAATAAACATAAAGCGATTTTTTACGTTATTACTTCGTTTTACCTGGGAATTAAAAAAAGTAAGTTTTACATGTAAACATACACATTGTTCTACATTTTTCAATGTACCTACAATTTTCGCTACTTTGTTTTGACTTACCATCACCATCTTTTGTTTTTATAATGGCCGCCGTAACGCATGTAAAATTCCAATATGTCGGCCATAGGAAAAACAAAAGACGCTGGTGGTAACTCAAAAAATCACAAATTGGATAAAAATGTAGATGAATGTGTAGTTTACATATCAAACTTTATTTTTTTCAAGATACCCATAGCTCATTCTTTTATTTGGAATTTGACAAATGTCAGTTTAGTTGGCAAATTCTAGGGACCCTAAATTTATAATTGCCACAACAATGTAATTGTAGAACAAACTGGTTTAGTGGAGAATTTAATTTTGGTTATTTTATAATAATTATAATTATTATAAAAATAGGAATGTTTATAAATTGTCAAATAAAATTTGTTAAAATGCAATAACTTTGCACATGTATTTTGATTATAATTCTAACAGATAAATGTCAAATGTCAAAGAATTTAAATTAAGGGCTCGAACAGGAGTACCAATTTTAAATATTAAAAATAATAAAGAATTATTTTGATTGTAATAGTATATTAAAGTACAAGTTGCAGAAGGCCACATATTCTCGCACGAATTCGAAATTTGGCCTCGAGCGACGAAGGAGCGAGTGGACGAACGAATGAGTGCGAGAATAGCCTTCTGCAACGTGTGATTTATACTATTTTCTCGATTTTAACTTTTATTTAGGTTTTTTTAATTGTTTTGTGGTCGTTGTTAGTTGGGGGATTTTTCTCGCAAAATGTCAGTTGGCAACACAAAATGCCAATATTTGTTATCTTGGACACTTTTTCACATTAAACTTAAAATTTTGCATTAAAATGCATTGTTGGAGCAAACTTAATATTACAAAACAATAATAAAGGCTTCATTTTCAATAAAAGTGTAGTTCAGGTTGCACTAGTGCAGGATAACAAGCAAAGCTATTATAAATAATCCTAAAAGTAATGAATTTGAGGTTATTAAACAGTTTGACATTTTGGGGGTACCAATACTTAAAAACAAAATTTTACCAAAAATCGTTTAAGAATGAGCTTCATTCTTCAACGATTTTGCGTGCTAGAATATGACATTCTTACATAAAAATCGAGAAAGATTTTTATTATTTAATATTTTATTATTAATTTTACCCTAATAATTTCTAAATATGTGATAATAAAATATAAACTTTTACCTAACTTCTTTATTTGAAGCCTTTAGCCGTTCTAAAAATAAAGACCACAACTTTTGCCCGCAACTGTATCACACATTCCCCCACAGTTATGCAACTCGCTTACGCCCATGTAATCGTAGTTGCGGGCCAAAATGATTCGACTCGTGAATCATGGTCTTCTCAAAGACCAAGGCTTTTTATTATTTACAATTCAGAAAATTACAATTTACACCCAAGTGCTGTGCGTTCTATGAGAATGAACCCATTAGCTTAATTAGGTGCAGCCCATTTCCCCCAAAGCATTAAGTTATTTTTAACACGACATGTTTTAAGTGCGTGTGTGTTCAATTTGTTAATTTTAAGCGTACAGTGAGAATGAGTGAAGAAAATTGTTTGGAAGAAACGGTCCCAAGGCCAAGTCTTGGCTCAGAAACTGAATTTGATGACCAGCTATGCATGTCTGATATTCCAGATGAAACACTGGAAGAAAAAGATGAAAATGATGTCTCAGATTCCAAAACAGAAGGTTTATAACATAATTATGCACTATTTACTAGTTTAACCTCACTTTTTCCCTATCTGACGTCTGTCAAATAGTTTTAACCTTACTTTTTTCAATTTAATGCACTATATACTCAGGATTTTAATTTTAATACAATACATTCTTTAGAATCAACATCCGAAGGTTTACCATTTTGCTCCGTTTACAACATCAAGAAATTCAAGTCAAGTAAACGAAATGTTTTTATTCCCAGTGAACCAATCACTGCCACAATTACCGACTACGAAAGAAATGTTACTACACACATGCTTAACCCCAATTTGTAAGGTTAAATGATCTACACTTTAAACAAACGCTATAAAATTTATTTTAAAGGTATACTATCTCCCTATGCCATGGGAATTTCACCTGGCAAGTCAAAAAGCGATACAAGCAAATCTACGATTTACATCAACAATTATTGTTGCATAAGGCTTCATTAATGGTTCCTCTACCCACTAAAACCCATGCCAGTAATAGGAAGAGTTTTAGGCATAATGTTATAGGGCAAAAGAAGAAAGGGGCCTTACCAAGGTAAATATTTTTTTATATGGCTCATATAATTCTCCATTTACATTAGTTGATAATAAATAATTTAAGATTTCCCAAAAAGCCTGAAGTTTTGGTACCATTTGAAGCAATTGATGCTAGAATGAAGCAAATTGAAGATTATTTAAATAATATTTTCATGATTAATGCCTATAGAAAACATCCTGCAACTGTGAGTATTTTTTTTTATTAGGTTTGTTTGATTAAATAGCTCTCGTTAGTTCTAGGACTATCCGCATGCGCAATAAAAGCGCAAAATGTTAATGCGCATGCGATTTGTCCAAGAACCAATGAGAACTGCTTTATATTTAATTTTTTAATAATTAATTTCAAGTTTTTAATGAGTGGTTTTACTTTTAATTTAGCTGATAAAATTTTACGTTATCAAAAATATTGTTGATGTTTTTTGTGTAGCTTATATTTTATTTATATGTCTACATACATATTCATCTAAATTTACAATTCATAAATCACAATTCTGTAGTTTTTATCATAGAAAAAGGATAAGGTTTTTATGCTTTAATACATTTTAGTTGATTTTAACCTACTTATTAATGTTATATTGGAGCTCAATTTAATATAACCTTGGCTATTTTTATCAAATAGGATTTTACTGTTGGTTCTATATTGTGCCTAATTTTCATTAACTCACAGGACAGATTCGTGACAAAGAACTTTATTGGTCCAAACATAAATAAATTTAATTGCAATAATTAATTAATTAATTATCAAAGTATTTTGCGACTTTTTTTACTATAGCTTTCTAGCTTTTTTATAATCATGTCTTAATCAGTTTATTTTGTTTTTGTATAGGTTTCAGATAACATATAATGAATATTAAAATACAGTTTGTATTTTCACAAACAAAATGTTTGCAAAATGTAAAATAATACACGTTTTCACTTAATTTGCATACAAAATTACTACTACGTAAGAATACGGGAACACCTAATATTTACCCGTCCCTAACTATGACATAAAATGTATTTAATAACATGATAACATTTTTAAAGCAATTTTACTTTATAAACAAGTTTAACATTGATTTGTTTTAAAGCAATTTTTAATGTAATGTGACACAGTTTTGGTTTAAACTTTAAAGTTATGTTAATTGTCTTTTAATATAACTAATAGATTTTTAATTATTTATTTAGAACTTGCGGTATTTTTATTGAACTTTCCAACATTTGATTAAAAGCTAAAAAGTTTAAACCATTTTGGTAAAACCTGTTTTTTGTGATAAATATTATAATTTACTATAATATATAAAATTAATATAAAATTTGGTGACACAATCTAAAATGTTAAAAATATCATTATGTCAAAAAATTTTTACTTACATATCCTTTTTATCTTAAATTGGTTTTGTTTTTAAAAAAATGTTGTTAAATGGACATTTTTTAGATTGATTTTCTGGAAGTTTCACATTTATCATTCATAAAGGGTCTTGGTATTAAAGGGAAGGAAGGTTTAATAAAAAAGAAGACGGGGAACGCCAAAATTGGTTGCAATTGTTTTGGGTTCCACTGTTTTTGCTGTATAAGGTAAAAAAATATTTTTTTAAATATTTTTGTACTCTTCAACAGTTAATTTTAGATGTCAGCACGTTTGCAATGACGTTGTATGCTCCCGCTGGTTAAAACGATGGTTTTTCATCAAGGACACATTTTTCGGGTACATAAACCCAGAAACCGGTCAAGTAAGATGTGTCATACTGTTCGATCAAGGTTTTGAGGTGGCGTCAGGATTCTACGCTGTCTCCTTACAAACAGGTTTTCAAATACAAACCTTATCCCGACAAATAACCTTCAAATGCTGGACGAGAAGGAAAAGTAAGGAATGGGTGGACACTCTAAAGGAACTAGCCGGAACTACAGGTAGTTTAGCGACTTTAAAGCTCATTCACATCCACTTAATACGCGATAGACGTAAGTTGAAATACATTGAAATCAATGCAGCTGTTTGCATTCGTAGAAAACTTATCACACGTAACTTAACGTATCCAAAAGTTGGGTACGGCTCAACTTAAGGGAAAACGTTTCTTACGTGAGCCAATCACAGTCCCAGTAAAACGATATAGCGCTATCTTGTTTCACTTTTATAGATAGATAGGCAACCCAGTCTACATCCATGTCTACATTGCGCTTGCTTGTATATTGCGTTCTTTGCGTGTATTAAGTTAATGTAATCAGACAACTTAACAGACGTAGGTTTCTTAAGTTAAGTTAAGTTACGCATATTAAGTGGATGTGAATGAGCTTTTAATCTTCATGAAAGTGGTTTTGTAGTCGGTAAATTCAAATTTTAGCGCGGGATTTCACGCAACCAAACCCCCATCACTCTTTCGCGCCCATAAGGACCACCATAAACGCTTCGTGGTTCGTGGATGGTTCCAGTTACATGTCCGCCGTGGCTGATGCCATAGAGGGCGCCACCGAAGAGGTTTTCATCACCGATTGGTGGTTGAGTCCGGAGATATACTTGAAAAGACCGGCCATTGTGGGGGATCACTGGCGGTTGGATAAGTTACTGGAAAGAAAAGCCGTAAGACTCTTTTTCTCTTCTTTTCTCTCCCCTCCTCTTTTTTCTTCCGATTATTCATTCCCAAGCAGCATTTTTGGTTCCTAAAACCATTACCAAAGTGGTGATAACTTTAAATTAGTTAAGCTACTTTAATTATTACTTAAAAGTAATTCTAACTTTTAAATAGCAATATTTTGTAACAGAAACTTCTTTTTTTCCTTAAATGGTTACTATAAAGTAATAAACATTTAAGTAAAACTTGGTTGCCCCCAAGAAGACTTTGCAACATTAAAAAAGGTGTTATAAGTAAAAAAAAACTTTCAAGTAAATTTAATTTGTAGCAGTTACTTTCGGTTGCTACCTAAAGATTACATTATAATTATTTTTACTTTGTAGTCCCTTTGCAAGTTAAAATCTCGAAACTGGAACATGAATTAAAAACTACAAAGTTAGTAACTTAAAAGTTATTATTTTAGTAGTTAGAACGTTTATGGTACTAACCAAAATTATCGTAAAGTAAATTAAGGTGGAAAAAAAACTTTAAAGTAGCGAAAACTACTTCAAAGGAAAATGCTTCTTATCGGCCATTTTTTACTGTACAGAACCACGTGGTAATGTAAATAATAAATTATTTTAATTGTTTGTAAATGGTTGTTTACTTTTTAATAAATAGTAATTTTGTTGGTAATAGACGGTATTAATAATTAAATAAAAAATTAATTTTTTTTATTTATAAACATTATTAAATAAATAAATATTGATGAAGCGCATTTATTTTACAAAAACTAAAATCATAAGTTCAACAGTAAAATTTAAAGGGTTTATAAGTTTACCTGCCTAATTAAACATTATATTGTCATTCTGGAAGTTATAAACTACCAGTACATATTTAATAAACGACGACATTGAAAAGCCAAGTCCGTAGCAGTTCCATTTAAAAAAGGAGGGGTAGTATAATCTAATATAAGTTTGACAAAGACAGTTAATATAGAAGTAAAAACAAATAAATAAAAGTAATTATAACGCTCTAGCAACGATATTGAAACGTTCTAGTAACGTAGCAGCTACGTTCCAAATAGTAGCAGGGTTTATAGCTAGTGACATATTTGTTACCTTTTTGGAACTCAATAATTGTTCCCCACTTTAGTCGTAACTTAGTAATATAAAGAGACCGGCGACTGTCGCAAAAAACTTTAAAGTTTCTTCAATAGTCCCATAGGTTTAGAGTGTCAAAAACTCATTTGCTTTTAGAATGCCGGGGTTAAAATCTTCATCCTTCTCTACAAAGAAGTGGAGATGGCGTTGGGCCTCAACAGTTACTACAGCAAGCAAAAGCTAGCTGAGCTGTCGGAAAACATCAAAGTACTAAGACACCCGGACCACGCTAAAGCTGGCGTGCTCCTTTGGGCCCATCACGAAAAGTTGGTGGTTGTCGATCAGAACGTGGCATTCGTTGGCGGAATCGATTTGTGTTACGGGAGGTGGGACGATCCCAGCCACAGGTGAGTTTTCGTTTAAGTTTGAAAGTTGCGTTTTGTAAAAAAATGTTGGTAGATTGACGGATTTGGGTAGTATAACGCCTAATGGTGGGGATTTATCGACTCTGAGGAAAAAAACGTCGAGTACTCCCGGGGGGGAACCAATTTACTCCATACCGGTACCGTATTACCAACAAACTCCTATACCTGAGGTGCGAGAACCCGAACCACCCAGAGAAGACGAAGTTAATAGAGATTCACTTCCACAATTGGAACCCGGCGATAACCTCATGATCCCAAATAGATCCTTGGAGCGGATGAAGATGAATACGCCCGAAATGGACAGAAAGAACGTCTTTTACGACTTTAAAAACACCGTTAAATCGGCCAGTAAAGGTATAATCAACTTGGTGTACACCCCTCACGAAGATAGCTTCGAAGAACCGGACTACACCGACGAGCAAAAAGACATGGCGCAAACTCCGGAGGATCTCATCGAAACGCTGGACGGTTCGGCCAAGTTATGGGTCGGGAAAGACTACGTGAACTTCATAGTGAAGGACTTCACGAATCTCGACTCTCCCTTCGACGATTTCATCGACAGAGGCACCACTCCGCGCATGCCCTGGCACGACGTAGGCATGTGCGTGCAAGGTTCTTCGGCGCGCGACGTTGCCAGGCATTTTATCCAGCGCTGGAACGCCTGTAAGTTGGAAAAGTGCCAGTCCAATGATAATTATCCCTACCTGATGCCCAAATGTTACGATAACTGTGTTACCGCACCCAAGGCTAGTTTTAACACGCACCAAGTGACTTGTCAGGTAATGTCTTGTTTTGCATATGTTTAATTCTCCCATAATTTTAACTTCAATGTCCGAGGCTGTCAATTATTTTTTATTCAATGCTGTTATTTTTTTTTTTGGAATTAGCTGACCAGACGACCAACATTTCTAGACTGAATTTAAAAAAAAAATCTTGCCCTTACTATAAAAACAATCCGAAACCCCCTCATATTCCTAAACGTCCCCTTGTCCCAAACCTGTTTTTTAACTTATCTAGAAATACTTCAATTTGAATAAACTAATACTAATAATATTAATGAAATCTATAAAAAAATTTAATTTAAAGTTAAAGTATCTTATAACTGCTATCTAAGTTACTTGGTAAAGTAACTAAGATACATTCAAGTAACTTAGATACTTTAAAGTAACTAAGATACTTTTTAAAGTAACTAAGATACTTTTTAAAGTTACTAAGATACTTTTCAGTGGAACTTAGATACTTTATTAGAGAAAATTGGGGGAATTCCAGAATGATTCAAAGTAATTACCTAACCTACAACTTGTTGAATTTTTATAATTTTCCAAAAGTGTCCTAAAACTTTTATTTCTGAACCGTTCCCATACGCATTTAGTGGAAAACTAGATGACCCGGTGAACTTCGTTCCACCTAAAATTTTGTATAAGCGATTATCAATCCTTATGAACCTTTCAACTTCAATTCATTAAAACTGTAAAACGACACGGAATTGTTTTCACAGTCGCTCAAATCTGTCAAACTTACCTTGAGAACTTTACTATTTAAACTAATTTAAAGAATTGAGAACTTTATTATTTAAACTAATTTTTCGCTTAAACAATTGAATGAATGAATTTGTGGTTATGAGGGGGGGACCCTTTTGTAATTTTTTCTGAAAAACATGAAAAAAAAATTTGCAAAAATAATTCTTCCTTACTAATTCGACCACGCTGATTCCAAAAAATCCAACCGCACTTTCGTATCTCTTCGCGTTCGGAAGTTACACTCGAAAAACGCGATATTTTTCTTAAAAGGGTCCCCCCTTATGAAATTTTTTCTGAAAAACATAAAAAAAATTTGCAAAAATAATTCTTCCTTACTAATTCGACCACGCTGATTCCAAAAAATCAAACCGCACTTTCGTATCTCTTCGCGTTCGGAAGTTACACTCGAAAAACGCGATATTTTTCTCAAAAGGGTCCCCCCTTATGACATTTTTTCTGAAAATCATGAAAAAAAAAAGTTGCAAAAATAATTTTTCCTTACTAATTCGAGCACGCTGATTCCAAAAAATCAAACCGCACTTTCGTATCTCTTCGCGTTTGGAAGTTACACTCGAAAATCGCTATATTTTTTACAAAAGGGTCCCCCCTTATGACATTTTTTCTGAAAATCATGAAAAAAAAAGTTGCAAAAATAATTTTTCCTTACTAATTCGAGCACGCTGATTCCAAAAAATCAAACCGCACTTTCGTATCTCTTCGCGTTTGGAAGTTACACTCGAAAATCGCTATATTTTTTACAAAAGTGTCCCCCCTTATGACATTTTTTCTGAAAATCATGAAAAAAAAAAGTTGCAAAAATAATTTTTCCTTACTAATTCGAGCACGCTGATTCCAAAAAATCAAACCGCACTTTCGTATCTCTTCGCGTTTGGAAGTTACACTCGAAAATCGCTATATTTTTTACAAAACGGTCCCCCCTTATGACATTTTTTCTGAAAATCATGAAAAAAAAAGTTGCAAAAATAATTTTTCCTTACTAATTCGAGCACGCTGATTCCAAAAAATCAAACCGCACTTTCGTATCTCTTCGCGTTTGGAAGTTACACTCGAAAATCGCTATATTTTTTACAAAAGGGTCCCCCCTTATGACATTTTTTCTGAAAATCATGAAAAAAAAAAGTTGCAAAAATAATTTTTCCTTACTAATTCGAGCACGCTGATTCCAAAAAATCAAACCGCACTTTCGTATCTCTTCGCGTTTGGAAGTTACACTCGAAAATCGCTATATTTTTTACAAAAGGGTCCCCCTTATGACATTTTTTCTGAAAATCATGAAAAAAAAAAGTTGCAAAAATAATTTTTCCTTACTAATTCCAGCACGCTGATTCCAAAAAATCAAACCGCACTTTCGTATCTCTTCGCGTTCGGAAGTTACACTCGAAAAAAAATTTGCAAAAATAATTCTTCCTTACTAATTCGACCACGCTGATTCCAAAAAATCAAACCGCACTTTCGTATCTCTTCGCGTTCGGAAGTTACACTCGAAAAACGCGATATTTTTCTCAAAAGGGTCCCCCCTTATGACATTTTTTCTGAAAATCATGAAAAAAAAAGTTGCAAAAATAATTTTTCCTTACTAATTCGACCACGCTGATTCCAAAAAATCAAACCGCACTTTCGTATCTCTTCGCGTTTGGAAGTTACACTCGAAAATCGCTATATTTTTTACAAAAGGGTCCCCCCTTATGAAATTTTTTCTGAAAATCATGAAAAAAAAAGTTGCAAAAATAATTTTTCCTTACTAATTCGAGCACGCTGATTCCAAAAAATCAAACCGCACTTTCGTATCTCTTAGCGTTTGGAAGTTACACTCGAAAATCGCTATATTTTTTACAAAAGGGTCCCCCCTTATGACATTTTTTCTGAAAATCATGAAAAAAAAAGTTGCAAAAATAATTTTTCCTTACTAATTCGAGCACGCTGATTCCAAAAAATCAAACCGCACTTTCGTATCTCTTCGCGTTTGGAAGTTACACTCGAAAATCGCTATATTTTTCTCAAAAGGGTCCCCCCTTATGAATTTTTTTCTGAAAAACATGAAAAAAAAATTTGCAAAAATAATTTTTCCTTACTAATTCGACCACGCTGATTCCAAAAAATCAAACCGCACTTTCGTATCTCTTCGCGTTCGGAAGTTACACTCGAAAAACGCGATATTTTTCTCAAAAGGGTCCCCCCCCTTATGAAATTTTTTCTGAAAAACATGAAAAAAAAAGTTGCAAAAATAATTTTTCCTTACTAATTCGACCACGCTGATTCCAAAAAATCAAACCGCACTTTCGTATCTCTTCGCGTTCGGAAGTTACACTCGAAAATCGCTATATTTTTTACAAAAGGGTCCCCCCTTATGACATTTTTTCTGAAAATCATGAAAAAAAAAGTTGCAAAAATAATTTTTCCTTACTAATTCGAGCACGCTGATTCCAAAAAATCAAACCTCACTTTCGTATCTCTTCGCGTTTGGAAGTTACACTCGAAAAACGCGATATTTTTCTTAAAAGGGTCCCCCCTTATGAAATTTTTTCTGAAAAACATGAAAAAAAAATTTGCAAAAATAATTTTTCCTTACTAATTCGACCACGCTGATTCCAAAAAATCAAACCGCACTTTCGTATCTCTTCGCGTTCGGAAGTTACACTCGAAAAACGCGATATTTTTCTCAAAAGGGTGATGAAATTTTTTCTGAAAAACATGAAAAAAAAATTTGCAAAAATAATTCTTCCTTACTAATTCGACCACGCTGATTCCAAAAAATCAAACCGCACTTTCGTATCTCTTCGCGTTCGGAAGTTACACTCGAAAAACGCGATATTTTTCTCAAAAGGGTCCCCCCTTATGACATTTTTTCTGAAAATCATGAAAAAAAAAGTTGCAAAAATAATTTTTCCTTACTAATTCGACCACGCTGATTCCAAAAAATCAAACCGCACTTTCGTATCTCTTCGCGTTTGGAAGTTACACTCGAAAATCGCTATATTTTTTACAAAAGGGTCCCCCCTTATGACATTTTTTCTGAAAATCATGAAAAAAAAAGTTGCAAAAATAATTTTTCCTTACTAATTCGAGCACGCTGATTCCAAAAAATCAAACCGCACTTTCGTATCTCTTCGCGTTTGGAAGTTACACTCGAAAATCGCTATATTTTTTACAAAAGGGTCCCCCCTTATGACATTTTTTCTGAAAATCATGAAAAAAAAGTTATATAATTTTTCCTTACTAATTCGAGCACGCTGATTCCAAAAAATCAAACCGCACTTTCGTATCTCTTCGCGTTCGGAAGTTACACTCGAAAATCGCTATATTTTTTACAAAAGGGTCCCCCCTTATGACATTTTTTCTGAAAATCATAAAAAAAAAGTTGCAAAAATAATTTTTCCTTACTAATTCGAGCACGCTGATTCCAAAAAATCAAACCGCACTTTCGTATCTCTTCGCGTTTGGAAGTTACACTCGAAAATCGCTATATTTTTTACAAAAGGGTCCCCCCTTACGACATTTTTTCTGAAAATCATGAAAAAAAAAAGTTGCAAAAATAATTTTTCCTTACTAATTCGAGCACGCTGATTCCAAAAAATCAAACCGCACTTTCGTATCTCTTCGCGTTTGGAAGTTACACTCGAAAATCGCTATATTTTTTACAAAAGGGTCCCCCCTTATGACATTTTTTCTGAAAATCATGAAAAAAAAAGTTGCAAAAATAATTTTTCCTTACTAATTCGCGTTTGGAAGTTACACTCGAAAATCGCTATATTTTTCTCAAAAGGGTCCCCCCTTATGAAATTTTTTCTGAAAAACATGAAAAAAAAATTTGCAAAAATAATTTTTCCTTACTAATTCGACCACGCTGATTCCAAAAAATCAAACCGCACTTTCGTATCTCTTCGCGTTCGGAAGTTACACTCGAAAAACGCGATATTTTTCTCAAAAGGGTCCCCCCTTATGACATTTTTTCTGAAAATCATGAAAAAAAAAAGTTGCAAAAATAATTTTTCCTTAGTAATTCGAGCACGCTGATTCCAAAAAATCAAACCGCTTTCGTATCTCTTCGCGTTTGGAAGTTACACTCGAAAATCGCTATATTTTTTACAAAAGGGTCCCCCCTTATGACATTTTTTCTGAAAATCATGAAAAAAAAAAGATGCAAAAATAATTTTTCCTTACTAATTCGAGCACGCTGATTCCAAAAAATCAAACCGCACTTTCGTATCTCTTCGCGTTTGGAAGTTACACTCGAAAATCGCTATATTTTTTACAAAAGGGTCCCCCCTTATGACATTTTTTCTGAAAATCATGAAAAAAAAAAGATGCAAAAATAATTTTTCCTTACTAATTCGAGCACGCTGATTCCAAAAAATCAAACCGCACTTTCGTATCTCTTCGCGTTTGGAAGTTACACTCGAAAATCGCTATATTTTTTACAAAAGGGTCCCCCCTTATGACATTTTTTCTGAAAATCATGAAAAAAAAAAGATGCAAAAATAATTTTTCCTTACTAATTCGAGCACGCTGATTCCAAAAAATCAAACCGCACTTTCGTATCTCTTCGCGTTTGGAAGTTACACTCGAAAATCGCTATATTTTTTACAAAAGGGTCCCCCCTTATGACATTTTTTCTGAAAATCATGAAAAAAAAAGTTGCAAAAATAATTTTTCCTTACTAATTCGAGCACGCTGATTCCAAAAAATCAAACCGCACTTTCGTATCTCTTCGCGTTTGGAAGTTACACTCGAAAATCGCTATATTTTTCTCAAAAGGGTCCCCCCTTATGAATTTTTTTCTGAAAAACATGAAAAAAAAATTTGCAAAAATAATTTTTCCTTACTAATTCGACCACGCTGATTCCAAAAAATCAAACCGCACTTTCGTATCTCTTCGCGTTCGGAAGTTACACTCGAAAAACGCGATATTTTTCTCAAAAGGGTCCCCCCCCTTATGAAATTTTTTCTGAAAAACATGAAAAAAAAAGTTGCAAAAATAATTTTTCCTTACTAATTCGACCACGCTGATTCCAAAAAATCAAACCGCACTTTCGTATCTCTTCGCGTTCGGAAGTTACACTCGAAAAACGCGATATTTTTCTCAAAAGGGTCCCCCCTTATGAAATTTTTTCTGAAAAACTTGAAAAAAAAATTTGCAAAAATAATTCTTCCTTACTAATTCCACCACGCTGATTCCAAAAAATCCAACCGCACTTTCGTATCTCTTCGCGTTCGGAAGTTACACTCGAAAAACGCGATATTTTTCTCAAAAGGGTCCCAAAAAATAATTCTTCCTTACTAATTCGACCACGCTGATTCCAAAAAATCAAACCGCACTTTCGTATCTCTTCGCGTTCGGAAGTTACACTCGAAAAACGCGATATTTTTCTCAAAAGGGTCCCCCCTTATGACATTTTTTCTGAAAATCATGAAAAAAAAAGTTGCAAAAATAATTTTTCCTTACTAATTCGACTACGCTGATTCCAAAAAATCAAACCGCACTTTCGTATCTCTTCGCGTTTGGAAGTTACACTCGAAAATCGCTATATTTTTTACAAAAGGGTCCCCCCTTATAACATTTTTTCTGAAAATCATGAAAAAAAAAGTTGCAAAAATAATTTTTCCTTACTAATTCGAGCACGCTGATTCCAAAAAATCAAACCGCACTTTCGTATCTCTTCGCGTTTGGAAGTTACACTCGAAAATCGCTATATTTTTTACAAAAGGGTCCCCCCTTATGACATTTTTTCTGAAAATCATGAAAAAAAAAGTTGCAAAAATAATTTTTCCTTACTAACTCGAGCACGCTGATTCCAAAAAATCAAACCGCACTTTCGTCTATATTTTTTACAAAAGGGGACCCCCTTATGACATTTTTTCTGAAAATCATGAAAAAAAAAAGTTGCAAAAATAATTTTTCCTTACTAATTCGAGCACGCTGATTCCAAAAAATCAAACCGCACTTTCGTATCTCTTCGCGTTTGGAAGTTACACTCGAAAATCGCTATATTTTTTACAAAAGGGTCCCCCCTTATGACATTTTTTCTGAAAATCATGAAAAAAAAAGTTGCAAAAATAATTTTTCCTTACTAATTCGCGTTTGGAAGTTACACTCGAAAATCGCTATATTTTTCTCAAAAGGGTCCCCCCTTATGAAATTTTTTCTGAAAAACATGAAAAAAAAATTTGCAAAAATAATTTTTCCTTACTAATTCGACCACGCTGATTCCAAAAAATCAAACCGCACTTTCGTATCTCTTCGCGTTCGGAAGTTACACTCGAAAAACGCGATATTTTTCTCAAAAGGGTCCCCCCTTATGACATTTTTTCTGAAAATCATGAAAAAAAAAAGTTGCAAAAATAATTTTTCCTTACTAATTCGACCACGCTAATTCCAAAAAATCAAACCGCACTTTCTTATCTCTTCGAGTTCGGAAGTTACACTCGAAAATCGCTATATTTTTCTCAAAAGGGTCCCCCCTTATGAAATTTTTTCTGAAAAACATGAAAAAAAAATTTGCAAAAATAATTTTTCCTTACTAATTCGACCACGCTGATTCCAAAAAATCAAACCGCACTTTCGTATCTCTTCGCGTTCGGAAGTTACACTCGAAAAACGCGATATTTTTCTCAAAAGGGTCCCCCCTTATGACATTTTTTCTGAAAATCATGAAAAAAAAAAGTTGCAAAAATAATTTTTCCTTACTAATTCGACCACGCTAATTCCAAAAAATCAAACCGCACTTTCGTATCTCTTCGCGTTTGGAAGTTACACTCGAAAATCGCTATATTTTTTACAAAAGGGTCCCCCCTTATGACATTTTTTCTGAAAATCATGAAAAAAAAAAGTTGCAAAAATAATTTTTCCTTAGTAATTCGAGCACGCTGATTCCAAAAAATCAAACCGCACTTTCGTATCTCTTCGCGTTTGGAAGTTACACTCGAAAATCGCTATATTTTTTACAAAAGGGTCCCCCCTTATGACATTTTTTCTGAAAATCATGAAAAAAAAAAGTTGCAAAAATAATTTTTCCTTACTAATTCCAGCACGCTGATTCCAAAAAATCAAACCGCACTTTCGTATCTCTTCGCGTTTGGAAGTTACACTCGAAAATCGCTATATTTTTTACAAAACGGTCCCCCCTTATGACATTTTTTCTGAAAATCATGAAAAAAAAAGTTGCAAAAATAATTTTTCCTTACTAATTCGAGCACGCTGATTCCAAAAAATCAAACCGCACTTTCGTATCTCTTCGCGTTTGGAAGTTACACTCGAAAATCGCTATATTTTTTACAAAAGGGTCCCCCCTTATGACATTTTTTCTGAAAATCATGAAAAAAAAAAGTTGCAAAAATAATTTTTCCTTAGTAATTTGAGCACGCTAATTCCAAAAAATCAAACCGCACTTTCGTATCTCTTCGCGTTCGGAAGTTACACTCGAAAAACGCGATATATTTCTCAAAAGGGTCCCCCCTTATGACATTTTTTTCTGAAAATCATGAAAAAAAAAAGTTGCAAAAATAATTTTTCCTTACTAATTCGACCACGCTAATTCCAAAAAATCAAACCGCACTTTTGTATCTCTTCGCGTTTGGAAGTTACACTCGAAAATCGCTATATTTTTTACAAAAGGGTCCCCCCTTATGACATTTTTTCTGAAAATCATGAAAAAAAAAGTTGCAAAAATAATTTTTCCTTACTAATTCGACCACGCTGATTCCAAAAAATCAAACCGCACTTTCGTATCTCTTCGCGTTCGGAAGTTACACTCGAAAAACGCGATATTTTTCTCAAAAGGGTCCCCCCTTATGAAATTTTTTCTGAAAAACATAAAAAAAAAATTTGCAAAAATAATTTTTCCTTACTAATTCGACCACGCTGATTCAAAAAAATCAAACCGCACTTTCGTATCTCTTCGCGTTCGGAAGTTACACTCGAAAAACATGAAAACAAAATTTGCAAAAATAATTTTTCCTTACTAATTCGACCACGCTGATTCCAAAAAATCAAACCGCACTTTCGTATCTCTTCGCGTTCGGAAGTTACACTTGAAAAACGCGATATTTTTCTGAAAAACATGAAAAAAAAATTCGACCACGCTGATTTCAAAAAATCAAACCGCACTTTCGTATCTCTTCGCGTTCGGAAGTTACTACTATTATTTTTACATCACACATTAAGAACGTCAAATTAAGCTAGCTGTCTTTAACTGTCTTAAAGAATGTTAGGTTAGGATTTTAGAAGTTGGATAGTAGTGCGTCGCATGACTCCACCAGCCGCCACTGATTCAAAGGCAAGGTCTATAGTAATTTTTGGATCTAAATATTAAAATTATGGGAGAATTACTCATTTTTTAGTGTGTAATGTGGAATGCCAAAACCCCATTTTACCGTAAAATATACATTGATTTAACTCACTTCTGTTAACTTTAGGTACTTAGAAGTGTAAGCACATGGTCAATAGGCTTTTTGGAGCCCGACACAGTGGAACAGAGCATCCACGAGGCGTACATCGACACAATCACACGAGCACAGCACTACATTTACATCGAAAATCAATTTTTCATATCGATTTCCTACATTAAAAACCAAATCGCCGACGCTATTTTCAAAAGAATCATACGAGCGTATAAGTAAGTGAATAAACTGATGTGCTAAATTAGCACCACTTTTTCAAAGATCTATACAATTTAAATAAAATAGTCTAGAAAATTCTCCTTTGGATATTTTGTAGCCTAAAGTTTGCTTAACAAGTTTGCCCAAGGGTACATCATGGGTGAAAGTGAGTTTAAAGATTTTTTTTAATACACACACATTACTCTTTTGCTCTAAACACCGTTCTAAAAATATAAGAATGGTCTACCTCTCTTATGTCTCTGGAATATACTTATGCTTTAGGAGACATTATTTTTTAAGATTTGTAATTTTCTTTGGTCTTCCTCAACATTACCTGTTATATTCCTCATCCCAACTTTCTAAGCTCCTCTTTAATTGTACCTTGTTCCCGTCCACATCGATTTAGGTCATGAGGAAGTCTTTTATAACAAATTTTTACATTTTGATGTAAAAGTATCTTTCAGAACATTTTCTCCAGACTTAATGATTCCCTCTTTAACATCCAGAGACTAAGACTTGTAAAAGAAGTAGAAACTGCTTTTTACTATGGCCACTTTGTCATTAGACCGCATTAACACCTTGTAAAGCTCTTGCTGACTTAACTATTCAAAATATGAAGCTCTGGCAAATGTATACGCCTGTTGAAAATATTCTGGTAAAGAATACACTATAGTATCCTCCATAAACCCAGTAAGTCAACTCTACCAAAATCGCAAAGCTTAGGTTGTATGAGCTCAAAGCTCTTATCATATTTTAACGAGGGTCTAGCTTAGCTCCTAAAAGATAGGCAACCAATTGTGACTTTAGGCATGTATTGAAAACATACTGGTGCATACTAGGTAGTACAGTATTCAAAACACTTCTCCAAAATTCTTCAATCTTGTCTACAGTACCAAAAATAAAACGGCAATTAATTTAATAGTTTATAATTAAAGTTTAGCTAAAACCTTCAGGCGTTTAGCTAGACCCTTGCAAAAATAGGGTAAGAGTTATGAGCTCATACAACTTATTCTTTAACAGATTGTAAACATTTTTTTAATAGGCGTATGCCTTTTCAAAGCTAAATATTTTGAATAGTTAAGTCAGCTTAAGAACTTACAAGGTGGTAATGTTGTCTAATTGGGTGAATCTTTTGAAAACCATAAAGGACATGGAAATATTAGCAGACCTTTCTCATATATTTTTGAACGGTTTTTTGGAGCATAAGATATCTTCAAACTCACTTTTTTGACATGGGCGTATTTCTGAAATTACTGTACCCATGTTGATGACCTTTGGTAAACTTGTTAAGCAAGCTTTAAACTACGAAATATCCAAAGGAGAACTTTCCAGACTATTTTATTTAAATTGTATACATTTTGAAAAAGCGGATCTTTAATTTGGAACATCAGTTTATATTTTTTTGTTCCTTTTAGAGGGAAAGAAACTTTTAGAGTTTACGTTGTGATGCCTTTACTGCCAGGGTTTGAAGGCGAAGTTGGGGGTACCACAGGGACCTCTTTGCACGCCATAACTCATTGGAATTACGCTTCAATTTCTAGGTAAATTATTCTTAAACCGTGACCGTGTACTAAAAATTGTGCTTTAGGGACAAAAACAGTTTGCTCAACAAGCTTAAAGCTGCCGGTATCAGCGACCCGTCCGAATACATATCGTTCTACGGTCTCAGAAACCATTCGGTTCTAAACCGAGAACCGATAACCGAACTGATTTACGTTCACTCCAAACTTATGATAGTAGACGACAAAATCGTCATTTGCGGGTCTGCCAATATAAACGACCGCTCCATGATCGGTAAAAGAGATTCCGAAGTTGCCGTTATAATTGAGGACGAAACTTTTGAAGACGGCCTCATGAACAACGACTCCTTCCCCAGCGGCCATTTCGCAGGGTCTTTAAGGAAACACCTCTTCAAGGAACACCTCGGCATTCTCGGCCAGGAAAACAGCATGATCGATATGGACGTGACCGATCCGGTTTCCGATTATTTTTACAAGGAAATCTGGCAGAAAACGGCCGCTCTTAACACGGAAATGTACGAAAAGGTCTTTCATTGCCTTCCGTCCGACAAAGTGGAGACTTTCACCGACTTGAGAAGGTATCAGGAGGAAAAACCTCTGTACACCACTCCGGATGATATTCCTAGGGCCCAGAATATGCTGGAAACAATACAGGTACAAATGTTTTATTATTTTGTGCGTCTTTTTACACTTTTGGGTGAGAATTTTTCACATATCTGACCTGAAAATATTATTTTAGGGTCATATTGTGCAACTTCCATTAAACTTTTTATGCAAAGAGAACCTGACTCCAGCAGCTAGTTCTGTAGAGGGTATGATGCCAACTTCACTGTGGACTTAAATAGTGACTATCTATTTTATAAATATATACAATTAATTTAATTTTTATTACTTTTTAAAAGTATTATTTATTTATACATTTTTTTGTTAAATATGGGACCAAGCCCAAATATATTTGCCTGTTTTTACTAATATTAAGATGTTTTTAATTGCCAATTGTTGTAAAGTCATTGAAAATGCAGCAGATTATTAATATTTACTCATAAAATATTTTTATACTCGACATACACAATATTCTTACAAAAAATACCTCAAAGCATTTAATTTTTTATATATATTTTTATAGAAATGAACTAACTTTCCTACCTATTTATAAAATTGCACACCAGTATTATAAAAATGCACTTTTTAAACGAGTTTTATTGTTGTAGTTGTATTGTACTTAACTTATTTAAGATTAATTTTGAATTGAAATTTTAATATATTTATCATTAAAAATTATTATCGACATAAAACTGTTATTAAGTATGTTAAAATATTAGTTATTAAATAAATTTATTTAAATAATGTTTATAGTTTATTTTAGTAAAACCATTATTTTTAAATGTTAAATTATAATATTTTTACATTACAAAATTGGTCCAAAAGTAAAGGGTAAGTAAAAATTGTGTACTAAATTTATACCTTTATACACAACAAATACATATATTATTTTATTATTAGTATTATTTTTGGAAAATAAGACGAAATTAGCGTTAAACTGACAGATGCACAACCTATTGGGTCAAAGTGGGACATTTTGATGTAGTACTATTTTTTTAAGCATTTAATAATAATTATTATTAAGCACTTACATTGGAATTCTTGAGTTTGCGACAGTTTTAATAAGTAGATAATATTGACGTTTGACATTACAGGTCATGTGCATGCATTTATTCTACAGTGACCTGTAATTTTACAGTTACCTACACTGATAAGCTGTGAATTTATGGCGTTTAGTCACGGGCTGAAGTTAGCAATAGTGGCTTTTGGCCATTTTAGTCACGGTCTGAAGTTAGCTTTATTATAAATTTGGAAAAAGTGATCTGTTGACAGTTGACAGATGTCAAATGTATAACAAATAAAATTTGTTTTAAATTCTTCTTTGAGTTCGTCGTAGATAAAGTATAGTATACAACTCGTTTTCATTAAACACTCGCTCGCAAGTTTCGCTCGTTTCTAATAAAACTCGTAACTAAAATGGCGTTTATAAAACTTGATACATAATATACCATTAAAAAAGCCTTATTTAATGTTTGTAAACAATTATAATTTATTTATAAATTAATGCTTTTTAACGTTTTACAAAAAAAATTCACAAAAATTAAAAAAAATATTTTTGAATAACTGTTTATAAAAAAATACATATTATATTTGTTAAAAAACAAAAATAAAATATTTTTTCTACTCCCACCTTTAAAACGCCCTTTATCGTACATGTTTCCATGACACTAAGTGACCTTTTAAATACACATTGACAAGTTGTGGCTTTACGGCGATTTAGTCACGGTCTGAAGTTAGCAACAGGTTTTTAGTCACGGGCTGAAGTTAGTTTTAAGTTAGTTGACAGTTGTCAAATGTCATACAATCGTTAAAATAGTGCCTTTCTTGTAAAATAATACTAAATGTGAAAATTATTTTATTATCTCAATACAAAAATACAAAAATATTAAATAGTTTCTCAACGCCAATATTTGAAAAGTTTATATGAACATTGTACTGACCTTTTAATTTCGCAGGCAGTAAACTATAACTTAAATTCGGGCACGGACCTACTGTAAAGTCCTCATAAAACATTTCCTTTACTTTCACTGTGAAAAACTGTCAATTTTCAAGATACATTTCGATTTATAACCTTTATAATTGTGTTTATAAAATGTAAAAATGTGACATTTGGCAGTTTCCCCTGTTGTTTCATAGATGACGCTCTATACAAATTTTTTATTTAAATCATTTTAAGATAATAATAAGTATTTGTCGTAGAAAAAGAATAGTATGCATCTCGTTTATAAACTTTTCTATACACTCATTAACTTAAGCACTCGCTCGCAAGCTCGCTCGTGCCTAAATTAAATTCGTGTATAAAATGGCGTTTATCAAACTTGATACATAATATTCTATTAAGGATATTTGTTTTTATAATAAAATAAAAATTGGAAATAACGCATAAGGATTTTTCATCGAAACAACACAAAATACGAAATTATAATGATGTTTTTTGAATAGCAACAAAATATTAGAAAAATATTTTTTTATAGTTTAGATTCTATTTATAAACAAAAATCGTCTAATTTGAACATCTTTTTGAAGAGTTTTGACGTTTTTTAAGAAATGCTTAAAAATTCAACAATAATTTAAAAACACCACATATTTTTTATACCTTTTAAAAAAGATATTATGAATGTTTTTATAGATATAAGGTTATATTATGTATTAAGTTTGATAAACGCCATTTTAGTCACAAATTTAATTTAGACACGAGCAAGCGAGTGCTTAATTAAATGAGTGCCTAGAAAAATTTATAAACGAGTTGCATACTATACTTTTTCTACGACAAATACTTAATATTATCTAAAAAAATAATTTAAATTAAATATTTTTATAAAGCGACATCTATACTAAAATAAAGTAACCATCCCAATAAACATTGTTGACGTAATTTTCACCATTAACATTGTCCGTTATTATTTTAATTAAACCTAATAATTATTGATACTTTAAAAAATTAAAATAACCTTAAAATATGATTATGTTAAGAAAATATTTTATCCTTTGATTTTTTTTATTACTATAATTGCAAAATATTATCACAAAGTGTTAAAAATTCCTACAGGGTTAAGTGATAGAACAGCTTATTGCTTTGCCTTAGTTTATTCACGTTTTAAATAAAAATATTATTTTTTTATCTTTATTATTTCGGTTATTATCAACTTTTGTATACTTAGAGGTAAATATAGTTATATCACATAACATCATTTTACTATAACTTTATTAACTTTTAATTTTATCGATGATTTTAATAGACAAGTTTTAGGTGGGCATTTATATATTTTTTAAATGTAATCGTTTAATTCACAACACCACAAAATCGAGCAGGTCCTACGACACACTTAGCGCACACGTGGGAGCCGATAAAACCGATTCGGTTGGCTTGACGTCACGTGCACCTTGTCCAGGTGCTGGTGTCCACCGCGACGGCAGGCTGCACCGTTTTTTCATTACGAAATTACTTCCACGGCACAAACTAATTGGGACAACAAATATTCGCTGCGTTCAAGCGACACCGGCACCGTGACAGATAAAAAATTTAATTGAACTCTCGACGAAAAAAAAAGTCCGATTTTATTTATTTATTTAATACATTTATATATTCTTGAATATTTAATGAGCTAAACCGTCAATAAGACCTGTAAATGGTTATTTCCCTGATAGCAAAATTTGATTTTAAGAAACTTCTAAGAAGATATGACCCGGAATAATGGAATATTCTTAGAAGCTTCCCTTATTGTTAAGAATGTTCTTAGGGACTCCAAATATGTCAGATACCCACGTTCTAATATGATGTATTCTACATTCGTAAAATTCTTCAGAAGACGACAAATACGCCTCACTGTCATAATATGACAGTAAAATGTATTTGTCGTCCCCTTAGAAAATTTTTGCGACATATTTAAAAATATTAAATAAACAATTTGACCTCTAAACCATAAGTTGTATAACATTATTTCATAAAAAGTAAAATTGGAAAATTTTGTGGGATAAGTCAGATTAGATTGAAGTTGAAGATAGTTAGGATTATTATACATAAAAATGTTAATTCAGAAATAAAAAATCGTTTTACAAATTAATAAATATTTATTTTTAACATAAAATAAAATACCTATACCGTAAACACGGGTGACTTTGCACCCCGCGGGTGACTTTAGCCCATTTATAAAAAATCTTTTCGCGCTCGATAAAATTAACATTTATAATTTGTTGGTCTAAACCTGTCAATTGAGCGATTCTATTGAGTTTATATTACAGGAAAATCAGTGTTTTAAAAAAAGAAATGGGATTTATTACACTTTAAAATTGTATACCTATATTGGATTAGTGCAAAACTCTTAAAAATACATGCGTTTCAATTTCTATATTATGCGCAATTCTTTGGAGGTCGATTTTTTATTGTTTTTATCGGTAACCCCTTGCAATTGCTATATGTATGTCGCTGCTAACATATGTCTAATAAAAATAAAATAAAATATTGAGTTAATTTTATACGGAAAATACACTGGGGGCATTCCACGTTACTCGGTAATTTTTGTCCCGCCCGTCACAATTAAAAATTGTGAGTAAAAACCACAAGTTATAAAATTAATATTTTATAATATTATTTTTATTGTGCTTATAACTTATTAAAAGCATAATAAAACACTATTTTAAAATAAATTTTATAACGTATAGTTTTTACTCACAATTTTTAATTGTGACGGGCGGGACAAAAATCCCCGAGTAACGTGGAATGACCCACTGTGAGACAAAGTAACCCGCAACCAGGGGGTAACTTTGCACTCTCAGTTTTAAATTTTTATTTTTGAAACTCAGCCCTATTTAAGATTATAACATAGTTATTATGAAAGAGCAACTCAAGACTCAAATTTTGGTATAAAATAATGTTAAGATTAAGTTTGAAAGTGAGCTAAAGCCACCCGTGTTTAAGGTAGTAAAAGTATTTTTGTTATCGAATATTGTTTTAATTTGACAAATAACTATAAAAAATATTTTGGATTGTGTTTTTTTCTTAGTATTTAATACCTACTAATTACTAATTAGGTACTTAAGTATAGGTATATACCTTTATACGTAGTTTATGGTATATTTTACTATTATATAGGTAACTGAACTAAATATGCTTTACAGGAATATTCTTAAATGCACTTTCTATAGCAATTACTTTCTTAACATTCATAGCATATGTTTAGAGTAGACTAATTTTTACCACTAAAACTTTGCACCTTCTAAGAACCTATAGGCTAGTAAGAATATTCTTAGGATTATGCTATATGTCTTTAAAGCATGTTCTTTAGAAGAAATATAGCATGATCCTAAGAATATTTTCACTGGAAGGTTTAAAAAACATTTTTAGAATAAAGTGTGCTATCAGGGTAATTATATATTGAAAATGTATGTCCCTAATATTAGATTTGTAAATTTTATTTTGTAAAATTTTAACACAATTTCTTGTAGAAAACCAGGTTTTGTAATTCTTTAGACAAAGAAATATATTTAACCGAAAT